TAACGCGGTGAAGTGGTTGAAGCGGCGTAGTGATAACGCGGTGAAGTGGTTGAAGCGGCGTAGTGATAACGCGGTGAAGGGTGAACTGGTGAAACGGGCAATATGAACAGTTATGCCCCACGGGAATCTACTCCTTTGTGAGGTTGTCTCCCTGATTACTCACCTGTTTCCACGCCACAACGAAGGAACAGAAGCAGGACAGGAGAATTATCCTGGTACACATCTGCGAAGGGGTGGTGGGTAAAGGGGGGGATGCGCCCATGTGAGTCAGCGCAACTATGCATGCCCTTCAAGTGTGACACGAAAGGAAACGCGTCGCACTTCCCCATGAGGACACAAAAAAAAAAAAAAAAAAAAAAAAGACACTCACCAGTTGCGACGTCCAGAAGGTATTCTTAAGCGCTTTGTTGTTAGAGGGAAAGGCATCATCTGTGTCCTCCTCGAAGAATACATTTTTCACTAGCCCCTTGAACCACTTGTTAACCTTGTGTAGTACCCCCCCCTCGTTGTTCACTTCCTTATCGTTGACCAGGATCCGCGAGGGTCCCCTCATCTCAGGGTGTTCCATTATTATGCATTGCAGTGCCTCGGAAGTGAGTCCATATATAACGCGGGGGTCAAGTGGAGAAGAGGCCCACTGGTTGAGGGAACAAACCCCAAAGTCAGCCGATCAACCACTTCTGCGTCCTCACCGCAGCACTTCACATATAACCAAACAATCACACAAAGACAAAACACTAAAGCTTAAAGTTGCAAAACCTACGAGTCCTGTTGCCAAGTGTAGGAAGGGGGAAAAAAAAAAAAAAAAAAAAAAAAAAAAAAAAGAAAAAGAGGACCCTTCCCTTTTATGTGCCTACCTCTTCAGCTGTTATTACATTTTCAGAGGACCATTCCGCCAGTGGTAGGCCAACAGGACAGAGTTTGTCTAATGCACATCGCGCCGGAGTGTTGACCGGGAAGAGAAACACATTCGCACCCTCATTCTGTTTTTTCTTTGCTGCACCAGACGGACAACTGCACGAGGGACGTGCATGCAATATGTATACGTCATGTGAATAATTTTTTTTTTTTTTTTTTTTTTTTAAAGTATGCATATAGGGTGCACCTGTTGACTCCACCTGGGCTACGCGTACAACTCTGCCACTTACGGACAGCATTTTTTTTTTTTGTTTTTTTTTTTTTTTTTTTTAAACTCCATACCTTAACGGGAGAACAAACAACCCGTATGTCATTTCTGCACTGAACCACCATTGGAAAATGTGCACCCATGGGTCGGCGACCCGCAGTGTGATTCTTTTGGCATACGAAGAGGCACCACATCACGCTAGGGGAGAAAGCAACTTTGCCCCAACGGGGGATGTATACGTCCCCCCCCCCCCCCCCCTGCAGTGATTCCTGTGTAGACAGTTAACACGCACAACAGGGTGGGTATGAACTAAAGGTTTATAAGCAACTCGATTTAAACACACGAACGAAAACCTTCTCCTCGCGACACACCCCTCTGCTAATAATGTTCACTGGAACATTGGGCACACTGCACACATTTAAAAAAAAAAAAAAAAATTATGCCAAAAAGCCTGTGCGTAGTGTTCAGCGGCAAGGTTCTCTTTTCAGAGTCATCATCCCGTTCGCATTTTTCATGGCGTGGGTATCAGTGAGGGGGGGGGGCAGGGAAGTCAACTTGGAAATCCTCCCATCACAGGGGTGTTCAGATGGAAGTGTTGTTCCTTTTTTTTTTTTTTTTAAAAACCGCTTTGATTTAGGACGAGTGGGTGAAACTAATTTTGGCCCCTGACCGCGTGGATAAACCTACTTGCGTGTTCATACGGACATATGTGTACCTGTTCAGATGCTTCTGTTTTGGGGCTGCCTCCTCATCACCCCGACCGAACAACGCCGCAGGGTGCCCATCTGAGGCGCAGTTAATTAGTAGGAGATGTGTAAATAAACCGACTTGGGTATGTGCCGCCACATCAGTAGGTTAACCGCGAAGTGGAGCGGCGAGTGCACACGTATTTTGTCGCATACGTAATCGTGCCCCTGCGTGTTTACTCCAGCAGAGGGACGCCCGAATTCATTTTCCCGCCGGCCAACCCAAATGACCATTTTCAATGAAACATATTTGTCACTCGCCGAAAAGGGGACCGCACGGTGTGTTGCCATTGGCCGAGTGTAATTTTGGTAAAACGTTTTTTTTTTTTTTTTTTCTCTCTCTCCATCCGTATTGCGCCATTTAGCCCCTTTGCCGCTTTACCAGGTTAGCTGGTTAACCTGGTAAGCGGCTAAGCACAGTTTAAATGGCGCGTTCACTATGAACGCTCCCGCTCTGGTCGTCCCCCTCCTTTTACTCTACCTCGACGCATTGCACGGCTTTGCAACCAACAGGGCGGTCTTGCCAAGGAACCCATTCTCGTTGTTCTCGTCACCCAACAGAAAGAAAGCCACACCTGCACAGCTCCCCCAGGGGAAGGTTAAGAAGTTGAAGGAAAAAAAGAAGAAAAAAAAAAATGTAATTAAAAAGAGAAGGAAAAAAGTGGGAGGGAAATCTCCCCACGTGTGTTGTTAGCATTCCACTGAGGTGTCCAGTAACTCACCAGTAGGGGGTCCTCAACGTGGGACACAAAGGACGGTGCGATATGTGCGCGTAACTGTCGTATGGTGCATTTTTCATTTTTTTTTTTTTTTTTTTTTTTTTTTTTTTATGTGTCCCCCCCGAAGAGCGCCCTGGAAAGGTTGCTCCGCGAGCATGCGGAGAAGGTGGAAAAGAGGGACGTGTCAGACACCCCCAGTGTAGACGTGCACCAGGATATTCTTCAAGGCAAACGAGTACCAAGGTTAAGAATTAAAAACACTAACAATCACATATATGCGACAGTGGTGGATGACTACAAAAGACATATACTTTGCTTTTCGTGTTCGAGGGATCCAAATTTATCTGGCGTCCTAGGAACTTACAGAAATAAAACAACCAACAGAGTTGTGAATAATGGGAGGACGATTAAATCCGGGTGGGAAATTGGCAAGGACATCGCCAGGAAGGCGTTAAGTAAAGGCATTTCTAAGGTCAGATTTGATAGAGGCAAGTTCAAGTACGCCGGGAAGGTGGAAGCGTTAGCTGAGGGGGCCCGCGCCGTGGGCTTGCAGCTGTGAAGTGTGCATATATATATATATGTGTGGCGCTCACTACTGCAACGATTTGTTTGGACATATAGCACTATGCTAGGAGGCACCCCGCGCACGGGGTAGACATTTACGCCCCTTACACCTGAAATAGGAAGGTGCCAGTTTTGTTTATTTTAAAATAAATACATATCTTTTTTGGTACTTTTTTTTTTTTTTTTTTTTTTTTGTGTATATGTTTTTTTTTCAAATAGCAATGTGAACAGCGCGGGGGGGGAGAGGTTGGCATCCACGTAGGTGCTTCCCTTTGAATACGTTAACTTGGGGGAAAGGCTTCCATACATAGGCGGTGACCCAACGAGAGGGTTCAATACCCACTCGTACGATGCAGTTGCCGTTGCCGTTGCTCATTCATCGACCCATCTCATTTTTATTTTAAGTCATTCACGCAAAAAAAAACAAAACACACAAACAAACACAACCTGCATGGTGCTGCAAAAAAGTAAATCTTCCACATTAACTCGTTCGTAATGTTTAGTGGAGGTCCGTTCGCCCTTTCCCGTGTTATGCACATGTGTGTACATAAAGGGAAAAAAAAAAAAAATATGCACAGGT